CGGCAAGAATAAAACTGAAGCCATCCTACTTTGGGCATAATCATAGGCCGGATTCTTTAGAAAAGACACTAATGGTGGGAAGAATAGAGGGCAGTAGGAAAAGAGGAAGACCAAATATGAGGTGGGTTAATTCCATAAAAGAAGCCATAGGCATGAATCTCCCTCCAGGAGTTGAGCAGGGCTGTTGAGAACAAGACACTGTGGACATCACTCATTCAGTCACCAGGAGTCAGAGCTGACTGAACAGAATGTAATATACGCAACGTTACCAAAGTAAAAATCATTAGAAATTATGTTATTTTAAGCAATCATTGAAAAAACCCTCTATTCTAAAGGCAGGTGTATTTTATTATTCTTAGCACTGGATAGTTTGATAGTTTGATAGTTTCTTCCTGATTCTTCATTGGATACTCCTTGGACCTCTGAGGGACCCTTGGCTTAATGCTTTGCCCTATTCTCAAACTACATTCACTCCTTTGAGCACTGGCTTTCAAACATTTGGTCAGGCCACACAATGAGAAATACATTTTATAATGCAACTCATTATACACTGAATTAAAGTGAAATAAAATAATGATGAAGAAATCTCCTATGTGGGAGATAGCTAATAATTTTTACTCTGTGTTTCTTCTTGTTTTTTAGTTCTGGTTAGTACTCACTGAATTGATTTCAAGACCCACTAATGGGCCAACAACTCACAATATAGCAGGGCTGTTATAGGTGATCTCCAGTGCCAGAGGTTTAAATATCATCTATGATGCCTGTATTTCTCACCTATATCCTTTCCCCTGAACTTCAGATTCCTGTATCCTGACATCTCACCTTGGACATTTTTCTAAACCTCTTCTCTTAGTAGTCTAGTCCTCTTCTTGGTAAGATGGAACACCCTTCCCCCAGATGTTCAGGCTCATAACTCAACTCCTTTATTCCCTCTCATAACCTACTATTTCTATCTTTGAAATACATGCTAAATTCAACTTCTCAGCACCTCTACTATTATCACCGTAATCTAAGTCATCATCAGCTCTACAAAAGCCTATTAACTATTTCCTCCACTCTCCATAAAACAGTAAGTGCTCCAACAATAATCAGGGTGATCCTTCAAAAACATAAATCAGATCACGTCCCCTGCTCACAACCACCCCCAGTAAACTCCAAGTTCCTAACATGGCCTTTATAGGGCCTAATGTGACCCTAGTTATCCTTCTTTTCTGACCTCATCTCCTACCCCTCGGCCTTCTTGTTCACTCCTGTCCAGCTAGTTCTCCTTACTGTTCTTGGAAGATGCCAGGAACAACGCTCAGACATGAACATTTTTGTATCTGCTGTTCCCTCTACCTAGAATGCTCTTCTTCAAGATATTCACATGGTTTGCTCCTTCAGTTCATTGTAATATTAACTCAGAGCAGCCTCTCCTGACAACCTAAAATGAAAAAGCACTGCAATCGCTCACTAGCCCCTTTTACTTTATAGCGTTTACTAGAGGCCCAGCGCCCGAATCCATAAAGCCCCGCCCACCCACCCCACCTGCAGCCCTGCCCACCTGGGCACACCGCGCTGCACCCACCCGCCAGCCACCAGCCTTGCTGAGATCCGAGCCTGTGGGCCGCAGGGGAGGGACCAAGAGGTGTGCCTTGCACTTAATGGTGACCGGTCGTTTGGTCGTTTTGGTTGTGACACCTCTTGGCCTTTTATTATGATTACCTGACATAACATCTCCAATGTTAAATGAACAGTACTCAAAATTTAGTTCAAAAAATGAATGGATATACATAAATGACTATCAGTAATAACTGTAATGAGAGTACTATTAAGAACTTTAGTCTTAAAAAAAAAAAGAACTTTAGTCTTGATACATGAACCCCATTCTTCTTGACACCATTCTCTCTCTCCCAAATGAATACATCTATTTTAATAGCCATCTATGTATAAATTAAAATCAAGAAATAAGATCACCTCTGTGAGCTGAACTGGCAAAAAAGAATAACTAGAATCTATCCAAACATATAAATAAATAAAGCATAGTTCTGGCTGGTGTGGCTGTTGGTTGGAGCATCGTCGTCCCCTCCACAGGGTTGTGGGTTCGATTCACATACTTCAGGTTTGATCCCCAGTTGGGGAACCTCTGGGAAGCAACCAATCAATGTTTCACTCTCACACTGATCTCTCTCTAAAATCAATAAAAGCATATCCTCACGTGAGGAATTTTTGAAAAGCATAAGATTTTATGTATGTTTTCAGGCAAGAGAAATAGGAATCTAGATTTTACATATTGACTTAGCAAGTAGAATATTTATGCACCAATAATTATAAAGTAATGGATAAGAGTCTAGAGTCTGGAGTTGATTAACCAGGGTTAGTAAATTCTGGTTTTGATATTTAAAAACAATTTAAAACTTTTCTGTGCCTTAGTTTCCTCGTTTATAAAATGGGGACAATAATTACAACACTTACCACATAGTGTGTTGTGAAAACAGAATAACGCCTATTTAGAATAGTAAGTTCCTAAGTAAATATTAGCTATTATTCTTTTATAATTAATCACCAAATTCCTTATCCATTGACACTATTAAAATACACCAATTTTGATGGGGAAGCTCAAGTTATGCTTTCTAATTTCAAACTTCTTCTCAGGAAAGGTAAGGGGTCCGTGTTGAACTGAAAAGGTATCCCCTTCCCCCAAAATATTGAAAAAAACCTATTAGTTAATGAGGCTGGTATCTAGGAAGTCACACAATAGAATATAAATGATACCCTAAGTTCACATTAACTGCTTATATTGTACAAAATAGCTCATCACAGTTTACAAGTATGAAAAAAATTCAAATTCTTTACTTTCTTAGAAATTAAAACTTAAATTTAAATTCTCCACTACATCAAATGGTCAACATTATGGATATTAGAACTTGTATTTTAAACATTTCACAAAATAACACTATTTGGTTGCAAATGTCACCCCTATTTTCTTACAGTAATATAGATTTTTAAAAACAAACAACTTGCCCCTACAGAGATCAACAGCAGCTAATTTCCTTAAATATTAAAAGTTAACAAAAGAAAAAAAAGTCTGAACTATTTCAGTGCTCATTGCACTTTGTAAGGTGGGGATGCCTACAGTTAAGTTCTAGAAAACAAAATCCTGTAATTAAAATTATGTGTTTTCTTATCTGGGCTAGAAGTGAATTAAAAAACGTTTAAAAGGAAAAAAAGCTTACTGTAAACTTAGCCATAAAGGAAGTGTGCCATCTTCTCCCCGGAAAATCAGGGAATCACCTGTTGCCAGAGAATCATAATGCCTCTAGCTAAGCCTGACCTCATAATTAATAGGGATTCACAACATGAAATGCTAACATGTTAGAAACATCAGCAAGCCTGAAATCGAATTACTAAATTCCTACAGCTGGTTATCATCGAAATGGTTTCACTCTTTGCATTTTAAGTACCAATCATAACAGAACTGAGGCAGCTATTTTGAACTTGAAGATAAAAAGAATACACACTAGAGAACTAGGTATGTACTACAGATGTTTTAGTTGACTAGCCTCAGAATGTGGAGAGTTTCAAGTTCCGCTAAATTGTTGTTATAAAAGCCAACTGGATACACAGTAGTTATTCTTATTTCAAATCACAGGTCATACAGAAGCTACATATTTAAACACAGGTTTTAAAAAACAAAACCAAAAACACAACTTGATGGGCCCACTGCTACATAAGTTTGAACTCTGTTTAAAGCATACAACTAGAAGTATGAATACTAGTAAATAAATGAGCTGATAAAATGATTTTCAAATCTGATTTTTTTCAGACTTATTGTTGAAGTGAGACCTGTTAAAATGATGCCTTCAGGTAGAACTCAAACACAATTTCAAATACTGAGCATGCTTAAGGCAATCCTGAGTAGTGTGGCAATTAAAAAAAAATAAAACTCACATAGCTTAATGCTTTATTAAATATGGCAGCAGCCCTAGCTGCTTTGGCTCAGTGGGTAGAGCCTCAGCTTGTGAACTGAAGGGTCCCGAGTTCAATTCCCGTCAAGGGCACATGACCGAGTTGCCTGGTCGATTCCCACTGGGGCCTTCAGGAGGCAGCCAATCAACGATTCTCTCTCATCATTGATGTTTCTCTCTCTCTCCCTTCCTCTCTGAAATCAATAAAAATATCTTTTATAAATAAATAAATAAATAAATATGACAGCAAATCACTTGGTTGTATTTATAACAAAGAATTTATTTTCACAATATTTAAATGATCGTGTGTACATGTTTCAAATTTGTCACATCATTCGTTCTTACCAGCTTTTGCATTTTTATCCTTGAAACACTTTCTATAGATAAGCTTAGAAAAAGCATTGCAGCTTCTTGATCAATAATTTAGCACAAGATATATTAAATGCTGGCATTTCCTTGACATTCAAGAACTTAGGACAGGAATGGGACGGTGGCAAAACAAGTTGCCTAATCCCCAAGTCAGGTCGAGTTGGGATGGGAAGTACGTGCATTAGTAAACGTTTTTAAAGCCAAAGCAACTTTCACGCAAGTTAGACGCAAATTTTTTGCTCAAGTTTAACACCGAAGTGCAACACTGATGGCGTGCAGAAGCAAATGGACCAACACGAAACAAACCCTTTGGAGCAACTGTTAAGCAGGACGCCCACAGAGAGAGCCGCTTCCTCCCATCAGGAAGGGCTGGGATGGAAAACTAAGCGCCGATGGAAAAGAAGTTAAAGCGCGATGAAAGGTCTTAAAATTACACTTAGCAACGGCTAACGGCCCGACTCCTACGACTAGAAGCTGCTCCATTGCCCCTACCGCGCAGGGAGCCCGGAGCCCCCACCCACACGCTCAGAACCCGTGGGCAAGGAGGGGCCCGAGAGAGACCACAACACTAATTCCGCGCCCTGGCCCGTCCCTCGCGTCGTCGGCCCTGTCGCCCAGGAAGCAAACAGGAGCCTTGGGGGGTGGCAGGGACTGCGGAGCCGGCGGCCCGAGCGCCCTCTTTACCTGGTCGCAGACGCGCGGCCAGGCAGGGAGGGCGCGGGAACGTGTCGGGGCCGCGCAGGCCGCCTGCGCCTGCCCGCCGCGCCCGGGCCGGGATTCCGAGGCCGCCGCCCGAGTCTTCGCCAGCGGACCCCTAGCTGCCAGGAAGCACTGGCGACCCACAGAAGACTGCGTGTCCGGGGAGACAGCGGTCCGCCGGCCGTCATTCATAGTCCGGCGGACCGGAAGGAGTGACGTCACTTCCTCCCATGGCACAGCCAAAACGCTTCCCCCTCGATGGTGCCCCGAGAACCTTTGTTCCCCGCTGTCGGAGAGCCCGGTGCCGGAACCGGTTCGGAAGGCTCCACGGGGAAAGGACGGAGTAGCAGGGCGGAGTGGTGAGTGGTGACGGGCGACCCCTCCCAGCCGCCTCGGGTCGCGGGGAGGCTCGAGACCTCCGCGAGGGAAGAGGTGGGAGAGGAGTTCCCTGGGGGTCTCAGTCGCCGGGAAACCTAATTTGCGGGGGATCGCGCGCCCCCGGCTGCCGCTGTCCCCCGTCAGCGGTGTTGGGGGACGGGGGGTGCGCGCGGGCGGAGGGCACGGCCCGCAGACTCAGCCCTGGGAACCCGGTCTCGAACCTCCGTCCGAGGGTTTTGGTGACTTGACTTTCCCGCTCCCTCGGCCCGTGACTCTCGTCTTCTCTGGGGCGCCCTCTCAAGCTCCTTCCCCGGAGCTAGGCCTTGGGAGTGCCGGCGTTGAGCGGAGGACTGACATTCCCACTGAGCGCCCGCTGTCGCTCTCAGGCTCTGTCCCTTGGCTGTTGGGGGGTCGATGCCCTCCCGCCTTCCTAGGCGCGCCCCCAAGGTATCGACGTAGCCCAGGGCCGAGAACTCAGCGGGGGGATCAAAAGGGCAGCACCTTTAACAAGGACACGTATTCATTGGAAAGGGGTGCACCTTGCAGAGGCAGCGAGGGCAGAGCTTTCTGGAGCCATTGTGGGAGGGCAGCCCTAGCGTTGCACTCCTGCTGAGTGGGTTTGCGGGGAGGCATGCGCGTGCAGATGATCAGCTTTGGGCTTAAGAGCGCCCTGCGGGGTGGGAAAGGCGGTCCAGGAGAGAGCATGTGGTTACTAGTCTATGTGCAGGTCCAGTTTAGGTGGGAGCGGTCACAGAAGCCCCAGAAGGTGTTATTTCATCAAAAACGTAGTAGTTCGTGCAATAAAGATATTTGAGTACCTGTCAGGAACTAAGCACTAGGTGTATAACCGTGAATTTAAAAAAAAAAAAAAAAAAAAAAAAAGGTCCCTGCTCCCATGGAGTTTACAGTCCATCGAGTGGGATTAATGAATTGAAGCCAGATGAAGGATTGGGAAGAGGGTATTGCAGATAGAAACATGGTACAAGTCCCCAGTCGCGAAGAAGGTATTTTAGTTTCACTTTTACTTTATTGATATTTAGGGTGTGTGTGGTGGTTGGTTTGTTTGTTTTTCCCCAGGGAGCAGGAGGGTAGTGATAGGTTTGAGGGTTTGTTGTTGTTGTTGTGAAGGGACTTTGGAAATGATTAGAATTGAGTAGGAGAGAAAAAGCCATTACACTTGACTTTGATCGCTTACTAATTCTGTAGCCATTATTTTGTGGTACTTTGCAAAGCAAATATAAACTCTCCCCTTAAAGTACTCTGAGTTGTATAGAGAGTATAAGGGGGGTTTTGGTGCTTTTTTTAGGGGGGAGGGATGGGGGGTATAGTTCAAGTTGGAAAGTCCCAGTACCATGGTAAAGCACTAAAAGACATACCAGGAGGGAGAGATTATTGGTGGTATTGGGGGCGGAGAAGGACACACCAACTGTGAGTATAGTCCTCATGAGAAGTTGTGTTTGAATTGGGTTTTCATAGGATTTGGAGATCAAAACTGGTTAAAAAGCTTTCCGGGCAGAGAAAAATGGGAAGTGGCCAGGCCAGCTAGTGGCTCTGTTGTCAGGAAGATCAAGATGAAGAATTAAATTTTTTTCGCTAGTCAAGAATCTTCTTAAATGCTAGGCCAAGTAATTGGGCTTTATGCTGAAGGCAATGGGAAGCCTTAATTTTTGAGGAAGAAAAACATTTTAATAAAAAATATGTTTCGGGAACATTAATATGGCGACAATATTGAAGTCAAGGAGAATACTACATTATTGTACTACAAAAAAAAAAAAATGATAACAAAGACCCAAATTTGAGTAGCAGCAGAAGTGAAAAACAGAGAAAATATGAGAAATGTTACAGAGTCAGAATCCACAGGAAAGGACTGCTGATTGTTTGTATATAAGGAGCAGGGAGAGGACTCAGGAGAGAGATTTAGGTTTCAGGCCTGAGTAATGGAGAGGTGTGTCATTTACTGAAAGAAATTGCAGGTCGATAAACTTTTGGGGAAGATATTCATAATCTGAATTTTAGTCATCACTGAATTTGAGATACTATTAGGGTAAGCAGGCAGACATTTCTGTGAAGCAATTGGAAATGTGAAATTTGAGTTTAAGAAAGATTGAAGTGGGGGAAAACGCGAAATCTTCTGCTTGGAGATGATAGTTGGAAACACGATATACAGGGGTGGGTGAAAGTAGGTTTATAGTTGTGAGTACACGAGAGTTAATAAAGCTAGTGCAGTAATCATCACCTACCTGTCTTTTTCCATATGAACAACTATAAGCCTACTTTTGCCCACCCCTGTACATACAATTGCCAAGGAAGAAATCGGTTCCAGAACTAATGAAGATGGACAAGGACAGATACTTGTGCAACACCAAGAGAAACAAGGGTGAGAAGATAAGCCAGAGAACGAGTTGTCAGAGATAGAAGAGGAAAACCAGGAAAGCTGAATATAATAGAACTCAAGGAGGAGAAGGTTTTTTGAAAGAGGAGGTAGATAACATATTCACTTGGTCAGCATTTACTGAGTACCAGCTATCTGTCGGGCACAATGCTAGACATACCTTTACAGCAGTAGGTAAGACCAATCTAGTGCTGACCCTCATGGCATGGACGTTCTAGTGAGGGTGACAAACACCCTTTACATAATTAACAGTGTAGTAGCTATTATAAATAAGTGCAGGATGTTTTGGGACCGGTAAGAATATGTGCAGAAAATGAGACTTGAAGAATGAATAAGATGGGGGATGGGACACTCTACTAAAGTGCTGAGGTAAAAAAGATATGTTGAAAGATTTGAAATACCGGTAAGTCATGTGGATACAACAGAGTGGGAATAGCTTGAGGTACTAGGTAACATTTAATGAGCATGTGCTCTGTGCCAGGTACTGTCATAACTGCTTTATATGTGCTATCAGATCATATAGCACATTGGAGACCTTGTTAAGAATCTTCTTCTTTAACCTTTGGACAGTGAGAAGTTTAACGAGCATTTTAAGCAAGTGAGTGATATGAAATGATTTGGAGGGGACAAGAGTGGTTGTGGAAAGAGTGATTACTAGTGAGCTGTTGCTATGGGGTTTGATAATAAATGGAGATGGTAGCTTGGTCGCTAGGGTGGTGGTAATAACGGTTGATGAATTTAAGATGTACTTAAGGTTTGGTGATTAGGTGGGGGATGGGGCGGAGTTGTTGAGGGAAACCAGAATTTGCTAGGTAGGCTAAAGCACTTGCCTCCAAACTTTTCTCATCATTGAGTAAAAGAACAAAAAAATTTTGAGCACATAGCCATATGAGTGTATTTGGTTATCAATTTATGCATATACTACTATAACTGTATATTAATAGTTTATTTTAATAAAAATTTTAAAAGAAAAATTCTAATATTTTTCTTGTATTCCACAGTAGAGACCACTGGGCAGAGGGACATGTTAGTAATTTACGGCAGGGATACAAAGCCTGTAGTCTTATAATGTAGTTGCTGAGTCTTGCCACTAGCCTGTAATGTAAACCTTTAATCTCTGATTATGGAAATGCATAACAGTAAATACTTTGCTTCTGTTTTTCAGCATAGAATTTTAAGTAATGATTTCTCTAGTTTTCTATAAGGATTCCTTTAACTATCAATCCTTTGGTCAGTATCTCACAAGACATTGTTCTGCATAAACCACTATGCTCTTTAGCAATGAAAAGTTAGGTCAATAGAAAGACTAGGTAGGCTGTGTACTCAAGAAGAGTGGCAGTTTTACCCTATTCATCATGGATATTTTAATGAGGAGCTGTTTTCTCCTCAGAATATATATGATGACCAGCTCCATGAGCAAATTTTAAAATAACCTTTCTGTACTTATTCTTATATATAGGTGATGTATGATTAATACAATTTTAAAAAAAGACAAAGGTTGCTTCTCAGTTTTTGTTAAATTCTTATTAATATGGCTGAGGTAGATTATTGTAGGTTATTTTCCTTTTGGTATTTACCTTTGGATTTCTTCTCATGGGTGATTCAGATATTTTAGTGGAGCACAGAATTTGACAATAATTTTGAGGCTATCAAATTGATACCTAATACCTTCTAGAAAACTTTAAAAAAATAAAATAAAAGCTCAGTGTGTGTGTGTGTCCTGTCAGAGTTGGAGAGGGCTTAGGCGGGAAGTGGATGGGGAAGGCACAAGTAAAATCCATTGTCAAGCTGAGCTTTCATATGCCAAGATTCAACCTATAGCAAGTTTAATGCCTGTATAAATTCCTGGAAATGAGAGGTTACTGTGGAATTGCTGACAGATTCTTCACTCTAGCAGTGCAAGTGTGTTGCATTATTTTAATAGTAACCTCGAGGGTAGAAGATTTCAAGCCCCAGAATATTGATTAAAGGATTGAACTCATAGTGTATGTTTTTATCCTAACAGTTCCTTGCCTGGAGAAATATTTGAAAAAGTGACAACCAGAAGTAGAAGCAAGCACATGATAGCATTGGTATTAATGGAAAACGAAAACTTTTTAACGTTTCAGAACTTCATAAGCCTTTGATGTATATCTTTACTATTTTTAAGCTCCTAGACACAGAGCATTATCATAGGCACTATAGGAAGATATAGCACCATCCCTCAGAGACCTTGCTTTTTAAAAGTAGGTTAAGGCATGTGATACCACAATCTAAATGTGATCCAATGAGATTATCATTAGTATGCTTTTTTGAGGCATTCAAGATTGGAGATGAGAACTAAGGAGACAGAGAGATAGCTGAGGT